CCTTTACATAATAAAGAGTTCTCCCCTTCAGCTCCAGGTGATGGAATCAAGGCATGCTAGCATTAGCCTTTACCCAACTCACCACATGGCATCTTAGAATTCAACTAAACCTGGATTCAAAACACAGCCTAGAGAGTTGCCCCTGCATGGCCCCATGGAAATCTGACAACCAATCAGAATACAAGCTCAAGATCAAAGGCCAGAGGGGGCATAAAACCAGGGTCTCAGCATCTCAGCCTTTCCTTCTATCTTCTTCTTCCCCCAACATTGAAGCATGTGATCATCTTTTCTGTTCAGGATTCTAGCCATGTGGTCCTGTCCACCATTAAACCATCTTTCCAAGCAGCCTCCATGTCCCCGATGTCTTTTTCCCCACTTGGAGCCGAACCCAGAAGGACATTTCTTTCATCAGGCCAATCAATAAAGACTCAATGTAAAGACTATACATATGCATGCGCTTTGGGGCAATTTAAGACCATTCACCCTGCAGAAAATTGTTAACCTGAATTGTAGTCAATTATATAAAGTGTATAGTATATAACTGTAGTCAATTTATATATTAAATCTACAGCAAACAGGATTTTTTTCAAGATTTAGGAATGCTATTTACCACGAATTTATCAGGGAGTGGAGGCACCGGGTCACATGCTTATTTTCTTATGTTCAAATATTGCTTATTTTCAGGAACAAAAAAAAAAGGCAGCTCGTGCTTAGAAAGCCTTCGGAAAACGTGCTTTACTCACCAGCCGAGTTGCTCGGTAGGGCCCGGGGCCCACGAGTCGAGGCTCCATCGGTCGCCCAGAAAATATAAAACTCCGTCTCCACGGCGACCGAGGGACACAGCATAGATACAACCTTGGAAGGAAAGTTTGAATCGAGGCTACCGCGTTCTGATTGGACTAAATCTAGGTCACATGATATCGCAGCATTAGCCGATTGGAGGAAATCCTTTTAGAAACACTCCATTCATTTAAAAAAAAAATCATCCTGCGTTCGCTCTTTGCCCCCGATAAGCAGGCGATTGGGTTCTCTGCTAGAAACGTCAGAGGTGCGTTTTTACCGTCAGCGCCCAATCAGTTCCTTTTTGCGTCACCAATCGCTGGGCGGCAGCGCGATAAAAGGAACGGGCTGATAATTTCAGGAGATGCTTTTTGTTCGGCTGTCTCCACTTTGTATGCTGCGGGCAGGTGACGTTACTGGCGCCTGCTAAGGTGGCCTCTTGCTAAAAATCGATTCTGCGTCATCGCGCAATTTGGAAGGATTCCATCTTCTCCCCCCATTTTATATGGAGGGTGCAAGGATTGATCTCTCTTAAATTGCCTCGCGGAGTTGACACAAAGGCTATAAGCCAAGAATTGAAGGACGCCATGTGACCTCTTTTAATCTTAGTGGGAACTGAGGCAATTGTGATTTGCTCAACCATGGTTTGCACAAACATGGGTTAATATATATGTGTGTGTGGGTTTCTGCTTCATGAGTATGTCCCCATCAGCTGTTCCCTAACGGGCAGAAGTTTCAAGTAGTATCTCAAATCCTGTTTGCTGGGATTTGTAGTGGAGGCAGCCCCTTGTGGTCCAGGGCTTCTGGATCAAGCAGTGGAAAGACTGGAACTTAGGCAAAGGGCTGGTGTAAATGTAAAACTGAATTTTAGATCCACTAAAAAAATTCTCTCTGACTTAAGATCCATTTAACTGCCAATAGCTTTTCCCAGGGACTATTGGGATTTTGCTATGGTCCTGACAGTCTAACAAACTCCATCTTAACAAGCTTCGAACTGATTCCAGAAGAAGCTGGCCTTTACTTTAAAACATGACAATATTTTAGCAAGCATAAATTCATTGTTCTGCAAATTCGCAGGGTGTGAATGTTTCCTCCAAACCATCCCATTATTAAAACCCTAAGACACGTTTAAAAAAATGCAAAGAGTTAAAGACTTATGAATCATAGTTTTTTAATGTACAGAAGTACAGTTTGTATAAAACAAAGTTGATAGATAATATATTAACAGTGAGGTTTATACCCCTTTGTATCATCCATGAAACCGGTTTCCATTTCAATTAAAAGCTGTCTAAAGAAGTCGTGACGCAGTTAAAATGAATGTATCCTCATCAGTGTTCAAAGTATTGTATACTTATCAAACACACTTCATTTGTTTTAATGAAGATACATAAGCATTTAAGAGCCGCTAAATTGTTGTTTAATACATATATTTTCACAATATATACTTTATTGCTGAAAGTTGCAGGTTGGACTAGGTACTTTTTATTTCTCCTCACATCAAATTTAAATTCCAAATAATTTATAATAAAATATATTTTCTTGTCCTGGAAAATCATATACAAAACATCCAGTGTGCTGTGCGCTGAAGCCTCTTGATTGTCAAGTACTGCAGATTTTGTTTTGTCGCTGAACCCTTCATTCATTTTTGTTTCTGCTAACGCCATTTTGCAAATGTTTTGGGAGCCGCTTACCCTTGGTATAAGCATGATACCAAAAATGTAGAAACAAGATTAAAAACAGAGATCCGTAGAGCCCAATGATGAACATGAAAATCGGATACTGATACTGACAATTATCCATGAGGTAGATTTGTCCTATATGCCCTGTCACCAAAATGAACTGCACCTGGAAAAAATAATTATTTCGTTTACATTTCTTACAAGAGAAGAATTTTTTTTTTACTTTTTGACTTAGGACCTGAAAACTAGATACGAAATGTGTAAAGAAATATGTATTTTGAATACATGGATATTCATATTTGACAATTCATTACAAATTAGCTGAAAATTAGAATACATTAGGAATATTGATTTTTTAAAATGTTGATTATTATGTTCAGTGATTTTAAATATTGGTATTATTCATTTAAACTTAGGTTTGTAAATTATCTCTAAAAGTTGGAGATCATTTATATATATATATATATTTGATATTTTTGTTATTTTTTAACTTCTCTTTTTCCTTTTATGTTAGCTTGTATTTTAATGTTTGTTTAATGTTTGAAAAGATATTACTTTTAAAACAAGCAGAGAATAATCAAGACAGAGCTAAGAAGGAAATTGCAATCCAAATAATTCCATAATGCCTGCTATTACATTTTAGGACATGTGTACACAAAATCATTTTAGAGCTGTGGTAAGTAGCTTCTGTCCTTTTGTACAGACCAACAATTGGAGAGAAGAGGGCATCAGGAAGAGGAAATGCCAACAAGAGAACAGGTATTCTCACCTGGAGCATTTGTGAAATGGAGCAACAAGCCAAAGTGGTGAATACGTGTGACTACAACCTCATCTATTTGCATTAAAAGAAAACATCTTCACTCAGCCCACTTTTGGCTTTTCACCACTATCACAAATGTCCTGTCTGTATGCATTTTGGACTCTGGTTCCACCTACTGCTTGATTCAACTCTTTCCACAATACAGCTTCCAATACTGTAGATAACAGAAAGGAAATATTCCATGCTTGTTTTTAATAGCAGTAGCACTTAGATTTATATACTGCTTCACCGTTCTGTACAGCCCTCTCTAAGTAGTTTACAGAGTCAGCATATTGCCCCCCAAAATCTGGGTCTTTATTTTACCGACCTCGGACAGATGGAAGGCTGAGTCAACCTTGAGCAGCTCAGAATCTAACTCCTGGAGTCCAGTGACATGCAGGCAGGGGAGGCAGAGCCTCACCAATGTCATCATGAAAAGAAAAAAAATGTAAAAGGAAAAAAGCTGAGGTAGTTGCTGCCAGAGTCACAGTGGATGACTCTGCTTAGTGCTTAACTGTTTAAAAAAGCCTCTAAAAAGCACCCTCTACAGGAGAAGGCAGTTTTATGATCACTCGAGCAGAGTTAAGCAAGGGTTAAAAGCCGAAAAATTCCTGACGTAGGTGAGGCACGTCATTCTCTTGCCGCTTCCTGTAGAGGGTGCTTTTTAAGAGGCTTTTTTAAACAGTTAAGCACTAAGCAGAGTCATCCAC